CTGATATCATTCGATAAGATTCATGCATGCTCTTAGGATCAGATTACCAGCCTTATTATCGATCTCGAACATGCAACTTCCGGTCATCCATGTACAACAAGTGATACATTACACTGAAGTGTTTCGATCCATGCTATTGAATCTCCGTAGCAGAATCTTCGCTTGATTTTCACATATCCCAGCGAGACTTTGCTACGTAGCACAGCTGTTCACCGCTGATACATCGCCCCTTCAATAAGCATCAGTAGACCGTCGTTGAAGTTGCAAAGTTTCAAAATCCATTATGTGTGCTGCTGGATCAAAGACTTTCTGAAGATTATTGGCATATATCTAATCCTATATCAGAAACTGTGCGGGTGAATATTTTTAACTCACTGGACTAAACATTAAAGGCATAGTTACTTCAGTCCCTATGTATAAGGCGCGCCACTATTAGCTTTGGTGAAACACTTTTCATGAATCATTATGGAAAGTTTTAATGGTGCAGTTTGTAGTATAATTCGTATAGTTTCAGAGGGTTTCCGAAAGTGCTACTCCTGCTCTGAACAAACTTTCACTTTTCTTGGAATCACAGAGGAATGTCAACGACTGAAGCTGTTTTGGCTGGTCATTTTATTCCATTATAATGCTGTATTAAATTCAATGCACCTGCAGTGTTTCGCATGGAACATATTTTTGAAACGCTGGAGAATACCTGAACATATCGTTTGTATTTGTTTGCAGATGTTTGTAGGAAACATGTCTTCCATCATGGCCGAGGGAGTGATATCTGAATGGTTCTCCATTAATTGTGCAGTTTGCCAGGGGGACGTACATTTGCCTTAATTGTTCAACGCTGTCCTGCTCTTGACTTTAAACTTTAAACAGGCAGACTTGACAGAAGACGACGCTCTCATTTTCGAGGTAGCAGAGTTTCGAATAACTGGCCAGTCATGTTGCTGATCTGAAATATTCGAATGATATCGTCCAGAGGATTAATCCCATAGGCAACGTAGACAACATTGTGGCTACTGCATAAAATACTCTTGTAAGTGCAGCTCTATTCCTGAACTCCCCTATGTCAGAAGTCGTGAGTAACGACCAAAAATATTGCAGTTTGAGTTTGAAAATTTACTAAGCAAGTACTCATAGAATGTGTGAAAGCCCATTTTCACCGGTTGCACTTGAAACCCAGTTATCTGTGAATCATTACCAAGGGTGAAGACGGGGTGCAAAATATGAAAACTGTCCTGAAGGCTGTAGTTGCATTCCGTGTCTTTGCTACGATTATTAGGAAGATTTTGTACTGCTGTTGTTGTATATATTTTTTTTAATGTTTTCCAGATATTCTGGCTATAAAGTAGTAGATTTTCTTCTTAGAATTTCGTTATCTTTTTATTTTAAGTCATTCCTGCCTTTTGGAACCATCAGAAGAAGTCAACAATGATCTCACTTCAAATCTTTGGACACCTTATGTGCTTGAAGATCAAAAGTAGTGTTCGTTTGTGGATGCCGCTTGCTTGCTGTCATGGAGGGGAGAACTCCGGAGGTTGTTTGCACGACAGGTTGTGTCGCGACTTCTTGACCTCAAATGACTTGCTCAGCAGAGCAAACAATGCCAATGAAAGCCGACCAGTTTCAACAGTTTTAAGTGTCCGGTGATCACAGTGTGCCGCGTATGTTGGTACTTCACTGACCGTTGGTCAGTGAAAGCAGTACTGCAGATGCTGGCCGATGGTATGGGCTCGGTAAATGAACGGACGCTTTGTTGGTCGTGCAGCTGGTGCACGGTCGATTGGGATAAAATAAAGGACCTCAGGGAAAGGCGGTGTACCTCCAAGCCACGCAGCAGCTGCGGCCTTCTTTGGATTGCCGGAAAGCATTGTCCCCCGTACTGCTGGCAGCAAGGACGGTCATCGCAGGACATGGTGCGCCGCGAGGCTCAGCTCTACCGTCCCGGATCGACCGACTAACCGACCGACCAAGGACTAAGGCGGTGTGCACCGCGTAACCATTTATTGGCACACGATTATTTATTACTTAGCGTGCATTAGTGGTCGTCAACTGGAGCGTACTCGTGCGCTTAATTAAAC